ATTACGTTTGTGCCTTGGTGCTTTTCACTCTTCCCCTGTTGAGAGCCTCTATGTAGAAGCGAATGTTCCATCCTTGTCTGATCGCCGTGATGCCCATTGCCTTCGCTACTATGTACGCTCTCATGATCTCCACAATCCTTCCATTTATAGAATGGTCACCGATATTAGTAGACATTCTTTATTCGTTCGCAGCCCCTGTTTGCTCCGTCCCTTTTCTCTTCGCCTACATTCACTCTTGTCTTCCCTTCAGTTACCACCTTTATATGTTCATGTAGCATCTCACTTTTCCCTACCCCCCTGGGAAGTTCCAGCTGTTCGAGTCTGTTCTTTCTCACTCCCGTGCTCGAAAGCTCAACTGCCTACGGTGGCTTCCCGCTCTCTTTTTCTTGATCATTTCCACTCTCATTCTCATGCCATCGCTGTGTACACAGATGGCTCTAAGTCTTCAGACGGCGTCGGATTCACAGCAGTGTTTCCGGACAGCGTCGTGCGGGGGCATTTACTATTTTCGGCTAGCATTTTTACTGCTGAATTGTATGCCATTTTTGCAGCACTTATTTGTATCGCATCTATGCCTGTGTCATCATTTGTGGTAGTCTCAGACTCCCTTAGTGCTCTACAGGCTGTACGAAAATTTGATACATCTCACCCCCTAGTTCTCCGTATCCAACTTTGGCTACGCCGTATCTCTACGAAGCATAAAGATATTATTTTTTGTTGGGTCCCTGGTCATATCGACGTACAGGGCAATGAACAGGCAGACACTGCTGCACGGTCAGCAGTACATGACCTACCAATTTCCTATAGAGGTGTTCCATTTCTGGACTATTTTGCTGCAATAGCTACCCACCTTCATGCCCGTTGGCAACAACATTGGTCAACTCTGCTTGGTAACAAACTTCATTCTATTAAACCGAGCATAGGTTACTGGCCGTCTTCTTGTCATCAGTGCCGTGGTTGGGAGACCACTCTCTCCCGTCTTCGCATTGGCCACACTCGTCTTACTCATGGGTATCTCATGGAGAGGCACCCTGTTCCTCTCTGTGAGAAGTGTCAGGTTCCAGTATCGGTTAGCCACATTCTGTTAGACTGCCCTCTCTATCAACGAGCACGCAGAATTTACCTCCAATGTCGTCTCCATTCTACTACTCTTTCTTTACCTTCCCTTCTTGCTGATGGACCCTCCTTTAATCCTGACTCTCTCATTGACAACGACTGATTTACTCCACAAACTTTGATGATGATACCTTCCCCACTCCCCTCAGTCCTTTCTACCTCAATCTCTTGCTACCCTCTACCACTTCACTGTCCACTGCCCCACTGTTCTCCGTAACCTAGTAATCGTCCCTCTCCCTTTTGCCACCTGATACCCTCACTTCCTTCCTGCCCTGCAGTGCTGTATAGCCCTTGTGGTTTAGCGCTTCTTTTTTATTATAATAACAATAATATATTCTGAACTGTACTGCTCATGGTTTAATCCACTGGGACACTTAGGAGAGATTTTGATATTCTTCTTTCTAAGAAATGTATGGGAACTGATCCATTAGGACATTTGAGAGAGATTATTTCTCCCTCCCTGGGCATATCCCACCAGGGCAGGGTTACCTAAAAAGAAAAATGAAAGTTTTTCTATTTAAATTCAATAATAAAAATATTATACACAAATATTTGAATTCATAGCCAAACACAATATCCTTAATCCATGTCAGTTTGCTTTAGATCGGGATGAAGTACCAATGATTCAATAATAAAAATGCTCAGCTCGATCTGCTCCTCTCTTGACAATAACAAATACCCAATGGGCATCTTTATCAACCTAAAAACAGTCTTTGTTACAGAAGACCACAACATTCTGCTGCTCAAATTAGAACATTATGGACTCAGAGGACATACACTCTCATAGATGAAAGTTACCTGAGTGACAGACATCAACAAGAGGACATACACTCTCATAAATGAAACTTACCTGAGTGACAGACATCAACAAGTGGACATACACTCTCATAAATGAAAGTTACCTGAGTGACAGACATCAACAAGTGGACATCAATAACTGCTCTTCAGCAACCTGATCAATCATCATACAAGCTCCACAGGGCAGTGTCCTGGACCTTCTGCTATTCCTTATCAGTGACCTTCCTAATACTTCAGAGGTACCTAAATCATTCCTGTTTGTAAATAACACAACTTCTACCATCTCAAACCCAAATGTGACTGCACTTGACAACACACTGTACCTAACAACACAATGTAAATAACAACATAATGTAAATAACAACATTATGTAAATAACAACACAATGTAAATAACAACACACTGCACCTGACATCTAAATTTTGACCTTGGAAAGATATTTATTTGGATCACAACTAAGAATTTCACATACGATGTTGATAAAACCTATATAATGTTTAGGAACAAAGTTACAAATGTTCATTTGAACATAAGTATGAACAATGCACCAAACAAAAAGGGAGGACAAGGGTAAATTTTTGGAAAAACACCTGGACACCAAATTAAAATTCAACACAAAGATCAAAAACACCTCAAAAAAAAAAAAAAAAAAAGACAGTGGACATTCTCACAAAAATATGATATTATGTCCTCCAATATCACTATTCTGTGCTATTCTTTAATCTTAACTCTACCTCACCTATATTCTTTATGCACGGGGATCAATAATAGCTAATAACTTGAAAACTGTTGGTACTCAGTAAAAATCAACTTTTAAAATAATCACTGATTCAAATTGCAGGCAGCACAGGAGCTGAAAATCAACCCCTGCAACCACAAATTGGTAATTACACTAGCATTATGTAAAAGCTTATACAGGGTGACCCAAAAGTTTAGACACACAGGAAATATTACTAATACATGTACAATGTGTATTCTGTTTTTTCCCTGCAGTTACCGGATTGTGTTCATGTGAATCTTGCAAAGCGTCTTGAACTTTGCATCGCTAGTGGTGAACAACATGTTGAAAATATTATTCATTAAAATTACTGTATAATTATTACAAAATTGCAATTTTGCTTATGTGTCCAGACTTTTGGGTCACCTTGTACAGTGGACCCCCAGTTTACGATCAGCTCCCAATGCGACCAATTATGTAAGTGTATTTATGTAAATGCGTTTGTATGTGTATGTTTGAGGGTCTGAAATGGACAAATCTAATTCACAATATTCCTTATGGGAACAAATTCGGTCAGTACTGGCACCTGAACATACTTCTGGAATGAAATAATATCGTAAACCGGGGGTCCACTGTATTTACTTAACATACAAATTATTCACACTAATTACTGTGCACGCTATGTATACAGGACGCTCAGTGCAAACATTAACCCAGAACTTAAACTCTTTATTTTGAGACCTGCAACACAACACACTGCATACTGGCTTTCTTGTTTGCCTAACAATGTTTTATGACATGTAAACTACATTATTTTGTACCACATAAAGTAATAAAAGTGTATTTGTATTTATAAGTATCTATTTGATGTACCATGTTAATGACTCAATCTGTTCAGAAACTTCAAGCAAATATAAGGCCTAAACACATGAAACTTGCTGCTTGGAAATGCAAAAGTTCCCCAACTGTCAACAGCTTAATTGTATGAAACATCTGGGAATCTTAAATGTGGAAATGTTTTGCCAGCCAGTGGCTTCTTCACTCCAATACTTGAATAATTGAAGCACACTTAATAAAAACCCATGAAACAGACCAGGGGGTTGGGGGGCCATTACCTATTCCCCAGAAAATCACTTGAAGTTGACAAATTCTACTATTTTAATGCACATTTCAGGCCACTTCTAAACTGACCAAAACTCTATTCCACTAGTATATCTTCCTTTCTATATACTGACACCCAATACAACCACAAGACCACAAAAAATACCTCAAATTTGCTATTTTAACCAAAATGCAGAGTTAACATGTTCCCATCATGCACTGCACAAGGCAGAATATTTTTATGGTGTCCACACTTACCACACAGACACACACACTCATATCTAGGTCATAATTTGCCACTCATGGTAAATCTGAAGACGCTGTGAATTATTCGTTGTGTTACATCACAGACTCTGATGGGTATGACCTACTAGGATGTTATGGACAGCTTAGCTGTATAGCCCTTGTGGCTTAGCACTTCTTTTTGATTATAATAATAATAATATGGACAGCTTAGGACTTAACCCAGTTATGATCATCCATAACATCAGCTATAACAATAATGTACAGTGGACCCTCGAATTTAGAACTTATTTTGTTCCAGACAGCTGTTCAAGTACTGTTACCGAATGAATTTCTTCTATTCAGGAACAATGTACATTAGATTAATCTGTTTCAGACCCCCAGAAATACACTTGCAAAAGCACTTACAAAAATACACTTACATAATTGGTCATGTTGGGAGCGGTTCTAAACTTGAGGGTCCACTGTAATTTCTAAACTATACATCCTTTATATATTAATCAGAAGGAAAATGTAAATTTATAGAATTAATAATACTATTGACATAAGTTTAAAGAAAAAATAAATTTAATGCATTGAGAGATCCATTACCGGCCAGGTGGAAGACTGCATCCTCGGAGAGGAGTGTGTCATTATTTAGCACTTTCGGCAATAAAAAAACAACAGAAAAAATAGGTAAAACTAACAAACAATGAAAGTGACTAACCTGAATGATTCAGTGCTGATATTATCACAGCAAGTTAAAATAACCTGCATCACCTTTATTGTGGCATATTTCATTAAGTTTTTTCTTGTAATAATGTTGGTAGAATTACCGACAACATGTTAGGAAAAAGAACACATGTGTAACTAATGCGACATTTTATCATGGCACTGTTTTGCTCTCCAAGAGCTTTGTCAAGCTGTAACAGCTTGACAATGTTCCTGGAGACCGAAACATTACTACAATAAAATGCCACAATAGTTGCATTTGTGCCCTCTTAGATGAGCTTTTTGTAAATATTAAAATGCTGGGCTTATTTACCTGCAACTGGACTTCCAAAGATGCCAGCAATACCTTGAAACAGCAGGAGGAGACCAAAGGCATTTGTCAGTTTCTCCAGACCAAGAAGCTCCACCAGCAGGATGGAACGCAACGAAGCAAATGCAGCTGCAAAATCGTAAGTCATACTCTAACTTCAGTCATTAAACATGACTTCTAACAAATAATGGAATGGGTTGGATTTAAACCCATGACTCACAAAATTGTAATGACATTTGTTGTGAGTTCTTTCCCCACCCATACTGTGGGTTGGTTAAACCCATGGCAAGTGACTGCTTTACAATACCCTTGCCAAGGGTTCAAACCCCAACTGTTCCCGTGTTTGCTGTTTGCAATCATATTACAGCCTCTCCTCACTTAGCAACGTACTCGTTTACTGATGACTTGGACTTACGAAGGGGTCTCTGACCAGTATACATACCTAAATAATGTATATTAGAGCTCATTTCCTCTATGTTGTTTATTATAATACATATACAGTACACTACTGTATAAACATTTAAAAATAAACTAAAAATGTTATGAATGGTGCCAGGCTGACATTAAAACACTATGAAAGATGGTTGATACAAACCCACTACCATTATAGTATGCTCCTTGCTTAGTGACGAATTCGTTTACCAATGTGGTCTTAGGAATGGAACTCCATCATTAAGTGAGAAGAGACCATTATGATTTCATGAGTCATGACTTATAACTTTTTATCATCCTATAGTACTGTATGCTTTATCACTGGAAATTTCACTCCACTTCACATCTACCATTATGTCTAAATATTGATGAGTCATGTGAACTACAGGAGGCCTCGTTTGTACAGCCCTTAGGTTTCCAACCTCGTACGGTAAATGAAAATCACTGTCAGCTGGAAAAGAGCATTTTTTCGTTATCAAATGCATCTAAAATGGGAAGTACAATGCCTGCACTTTAAAGGAGGGGTTTGGGATATTGGCATTTTGGAGGGACTTTTAAACTGGCATATCTGAGCGCCTCTGCAAAGACAGTGATTATGTATGAGTGAAGTGAAAGTGTTGAATGATGATGAAAGTATTTTCATTCTTTTTAAGGATTTTCTTTCTTTTTGGGTCACCCTGCCTCGGTGGGAGACGGCCAAAAAGCAAAAAAAAAAAAAAAAAAAAAAAAAATTACTTACCTTAAGGTATGGCACCAGTCACCCTTCTCTTACACAAATGTTGTACAAAAATGATGGAAAAGTGGTAAAAGCACTAAACATAATGAACAGTGTTTGTGTATATTTCGCCTGCTCTTGCGAATTCCTTGCATTGTTAATATCTCTAGTAAGGCTGATGCATGCAGGGGATGAGATGAAAAGCTGTAAGCCTTCTCTCTGAAAGCTGGCTGCCTTGGATCAAAGTCTAGCATAAGCTGGACTCCAAGGTATCGTCCAGTGTGGGTAGATTGGTAAAGCACTGCGTACCTTGTTCGAAGGTTCGTAGGTTCGAGTCTCCTTCAGCCAGAGATCAGTGTTTGTGTATATTTCGCCTGCTCTTGCGAATTCTTTGTATGTATGTATGTATGTATGTATGTGTGTGTGTGTGTGTATATATATATATACACAGTGGACCCCCGCATAACGATATTAATCCGTTTCTGAGAGCTCATTGTTATGCGAAATTATCGTTATGCGAATGAATTTTCCCCATAAGAAATAATGGAAATCAAATTAATCTGTGCAAGACACCCAAAAGTATGAAAATTTTTTTTTTACCACATGAAATATACATTTTCCTACACACAAAGAGAAGGATACATGCACAATAGTAGAGTAGTACATGCACAATATATATTGTGCATGTACTACTCTACTAAATGAAGAATAAATGACACTTACCTTTATTGAAGATGCAGCAATGACTGATGAGACACTGTGTCCTGGGAGTGCCTTTTCCTCCTGAGTACTGTAGGTCCTGTTTGGCATTTTCTTCCAGAACATGCCTTATCACACTGTGTATGCCACTACGATTCTTAAATCTCTCAAATCAACCTTTGCTGGCTTTAAATTCACCAATATGAGCACTAGTTCCAGGCATTTTTCCCTGTTCACCTGGGTGTTAGTCGACTGGTGTGGGTTGCATCCTGGGAGACAAGATTAAGGACCCCAATGGAAATAAGTTAGACAGTCTTCGATGACACTGACTTTTTTGGGTTATCCTGGGTGGCTAACCCTCTGGGGTTAATTGTTTCTTGGTATTCTCAATAAGCCACACCAACAACGGTGCTACAGCAGCAGCAGCTGACAGTGCTACAGCAGCAACAGACGGTGCTACAGCAGCAGCAGACGGTACTACAGCAGCAGCAGCAGCTGACGGTGGTATGGCAGCAGCAGCAGCTGACGGTGCTACAGCAGCAGCAGCAGCTGACAGTGCTACAGCAGCAGCAGCTGACAGTGCTACAGCAGCAGTTGACAGTGCTACAGCAGCAGCAGCTGACGGTGGTACAGCAGCAGCAGCTGACGGTGCTACAGCAGCAGCAGCAGCTGACAGTGCTACAGCAGCAGCAGCTGACAGTGCTACAGCAGCAGCAGACGGTGCTACAGCAGCAGCAGACGGTACTACAGCAGCAGCAGCAGCTGACAGTGGTACAGCAGCAGCAGCTGGCAGTGGTACAGCAGCTGACGGTGCTACAGCAGCAGCAGCAGCTGACAGTGCTACAGCAGCAGCAGCAGCTGACAGTGCTACAGCAGCAGCAGCAGCTGACAGTGCTACAACAGCAGCAGCAGCAGCAGCAGCAGCTGACAGTGCTACAGCAGCAGCTGACGGTGCTACAGCAGCAGCAGATGGTGCTACAACAGCAGCAAATGGTACTACAGCAGCAGCAGCAGCTGATGGTGGTACAGCAGCAGCTGATGGTGGTACAGCAGCAGCAGCAGCTGACAGTGCTACAGCAGCAGCAGCATCAGCAGTTGACCATGGTACCACAGTATTTCGATAATATTTCTCACCCTTTTTACCACAGGGTTGGCACTAGAAGCTTTCTTGGGGCCCAAGGTCACTTATTTTGCAGATAAAATCACTAAAAACGCTGTAATAATATGAAATGCTCCGATTGTATGCTTGGATGTTACCGCGGAGGCTGGCTTGTAAACATTGCCACCGGCGGAACATGTGAGGCTGGCTCAGGCCTCACATAGACGCGTCTCGGACGAATAGCGTTGAGCGAGTTTTTTAGCGCTATGCGAGGCAAAATTTTAGTGATAAAATGTATCGCTATGCGGATTTAACGTTATGTGATGCCAACGGTATGCGGGGGTCCACTGTATATATATATATATATATATATATATATATATATATATATATATATATATATATATATATATATATATATATATATATATATATATATATACACACACACACACACACACACACACACACACACACACACACACACACACACACACACACACACACACTCACACTCTCTCTCTCACTCACTTTGATATATACTAGTATATTATTAAGAAAAATGTCGCATTCACATTCTCTTTCATGGCTAGACAGGTGCTCCCTAACATTATAATCAGCAGAATAATAAAGACAATAATTTTGTGATCAATTGCATAAAGCTTATATATAAATAAATAAATCCCATCCTTTATTTCAGTTAAAGGTTAGTCGTCACATTTTGCAACTCTTTATTAACAAAAATAAAGCAAAAATTCTTTAAAAGACATAAATATAGTAAACTCTTAATATAGTGGACCTCTGTATAATGGACTCTGGAACAAAATCCATTAGTCAATAGATTCAGGAACAATGGACAAAGTCCACTGGGTACAGAAACCTCTTATCTATGTCCACCACAACTGCTGTTACCAGCCACCCGATCCCCATTAGTGCTTTATACCCAGGGTTTACCACAATATAACATTGTTGTGATACTTACCTACAGAGAGACCAAAGGCAACAGAATAAGCCATTAGAAGGGACTCGTCGGACACCAATGGCAGCAGCACAGTCGCTCCTCCGCCCAAAATCAAAGAGAAGTTATTCACCCAGAGAGCATCAACCTGAAAATATATTTTGCTAATCAGTACTGTATATTGTGTTAAATAATAACAATACATCATTCTCTTTTATGTTACATTACAGCACCTCCTCACTTAGCAACATACTTGTTTACTGATGCCTCGGACTTACGATAGGCTCTCTGACCAGCATTCATACCTAAATAATGTATATTAGAGCTGATTTCCTCTATTCTGTTTATTTCAATATACAGTACACTACTGTATAAACATTTAAAAATATACTAGATATGTTACAATTGGTGCAAAGGTGACATTAAAACAATATCAAAGATGGTTGACACAAACTTACTACCATTATAGTATGCTCCTCACTTAGCGATGAATTCATTCATTTAACGACATGCATAGGAAAGGAACTCCGTCGTGAAGTGAGGAGAGGCTGTATTAACTCATCCATGGAAACAAGCAGTTTTAAAAGCAAAGAACATACTGTGGCCATCTGGGATTTGAGCCCAAGTCATCTAAGTGGCCTCCTGGAAAGCTAGCTAAACTCTTGATGCTCCAAATCACTAAGTTACCTAGTCATTAAAAGATGTTAGGACACCTGTTGTCTATGCTCACCCATCAGTAAAATGGGTACCTGTGTGTTAGTAAACTGGTGTGAGTCCCATCCTGGGACAAACCTAACCTAATTTGCCTGAAATGATCTGCATAACAAGGGACTTTCTATATTGCAGTATGTCATTGATGTCAGCTATGCCTGTATACCTTATACGTACATGTACTTATAGAAATCAAGATATTATTATTATTCTTATTACAACTGTGCAACATCCTCCACCTCCCAACACGAGCCTTCAGCTCCTGCCTCCACACCTCAGTCTTCTCCTCCACTGCAAGCAGTCTACCAGTCTTCACCTCCTGGTCCCCCACCCCTACATCAAAATCCCCTCACCCCAATTGCTCTAACCCCTCCCATGTTTACCCTAGCCCCCTCACTCCTCAGCCACACTGGAGTACTGACACTGTCACCCACACTGGACTACTGGCACTGTCACCCACACTGGACTATTGACACTGTCATCCACACTGGGCTACTGACACTGTCACCCACACTGGACTATTGACACTGTCATACACACTGGGCTACTGACACTGTCACCCACACTGTACTACTGGCACTGTCACCCACACTGGAGTACTGACACTGTCACTCACACTGGGCTACTGACACTGTCACCCACACTGAACTATTGACACTGTCATCCACACTGGGCTACTGGTACTGTCACCCACACTGGAGTACTGACACTGTTACTCACACTGGGCTACTGACACTGTCACCCACACTGGACTATTGACACTGTCATCCACACTGGGCTACTGACACTGTCACCCACACTGGACTATTGACACTGTCACTCACACTGGGCTACTGACACTGTCACCCACACTGGACTATTGACACTGTCACTCACACTGGGCTACTGACACTGTCACCCACACTGGACTACTGACACTGTCACCCACACTGGACTACTGACACTGTCACCCACACTGGACTATTGACACTGTCACCCACACTGGACTACTGGCACTGTCACCCACACTGGACTACTGACACTGTCACCCACACTGGACTATTGACACTGTCACCCACACTGGACTACTGACACTGTCACCCACACTGGACTATTGACACTGTCACTCACACTGGACTACTGGCACTGTCACCCACACTGGACTACTGGCACTGTCACCCACACTGGACTACTGGCACTGTCACTCATACTGGACTATTGACACTGTCACTCACACTGGACTACTGACACTGTCACCCACACTGGACTACTGACACTGTCACCCACACTGGACTATTGACACTGTCACCCACACTGGGCTACTGGCACTGTCACCCACACTGGACTATTGACACTGTCACCCATACTGGACTACTGACACTGTCACTCACACTGGACTATTGACAGTGTCACTCACACTGGACTATTGACACTGTCACCCACACTGGACTATTGACACTGTCACCCACACTGGACTACTGACACTGTCACTCACACTGGACTACTGACACTGTCACCCACACTGGACTACGGACACTGTCACCCACACTGGACTATTGACACTGTCACTCACACTGGGCTACTGGCACTGTCACCCACACTGGACTACTGACACTGTCACCCACACTGGACTACTGACACTGTCACCCACACTGGACTACTGACACTGTCACCCACACTGGACTACTGACACTGTCACCCACACTGGACTACGGACACTGTCACCCACACTGGACTATTGACACTGTCACTCACACTGGGCTACTGGCACTGTCACCCACACTGGACTACTGACACTGTCACCCACACTGGACTACTGACACTGTCACTCACACTGGACTACTGACACTGTCACTCACACTGGACTACTGACACTGTCACTCACACTGGACTACTGACACTGTCACTCACACTGGACTACTGACACTGTCACCCACACTGGACTACTGACACTGTCACTCACACTGGACTACTGACACTGTCACTCACACTGGACTACTGACACTGTCACTCACACTGGACTGCCTGTATACCTTATATGTAATGTACTTATACAAATGAAGATATTATTATTATTATTATTATCACTGTGCAACATCCTCCACCTCCCAACACCAGCCTTCAGCTCCTGCCTCCACACCTCAATTTTCTCCATTGCTAGCAGTCTACCAGTCATCACCTCCTGGTCCCCCACCCCGACATCTAAATCCTCTCACCTCAGCTGCTCTAATCCCTCCCATGTTTACCCTAGCCCCCTCACTCCATCCACTTTAACCTCTCCTTTCTAATTCCCATACAGTTCAACGAGAGATACAACTAAACAAAAGGGCACCTCTGACTCCTAACAGAGACATGGCTGCCAGACTTTTCAAACACGTCAGTACATCAACGTACAATTAAATTATCACTGTCTTTTACAATTCCGAGACTTAAAAAAAATTTGGGTGGCTTTCTTGGGGGTGTAAGGACTGTAACTAGTTCTCCCATGTGTTTTTCACTCAATTTTACATGATTTTTTTATTACACACCACTTTCAGGACCATGACTGCTGTGCTAACCTACACTCAACTGCAGTTAGAATGATAACAAATTCTCACTACAGGCAGCACACTCCACCAATATTCAAAACACTCAACCTACTCACCATACAAAACATCCATACTTATTATTGCACTTATTACATACATAGAACACTTAACTCTGATATTAACCCTCCCCTCAAACATCTCCTTGCCAACCTCAACAGAACACATGACCATAATACAAGGCACAGATCACTCTTTGATGTTCCTCGTGTCCATCTCACGCTATGCAAAAACTCAATGCACATAAAAGGCCCTAAAATCTGGAATTCATTACCTGTAAATATAAAAGAAACACTACCTGTTTATAAATTTAAGTCTCTTCTCAAAGTTCACTTACTCACTCAAAACCAAATAAATACTGAATAACTGAACCATATAAATTGTATATCCTAAATGTTAATCACAATTATATCACACAAATGTTAAACCTAACTTTATTATTTTTTTTTAAATACACTACCTAACAGAATACTCCATTCTACTGAATGAACAGCAATGCATGCAACCATAGGACCTGTCTTTGTAATACTCATTTGTATTTTATAGTTATCTGTTTACAATAATGTCTTATCACTGATTTCATCATTGCTTAGTTAATCTTAAGTTAATTTTAAGCCAGCCCGTAATGCTATGCATATAAGTGGCTTTGGCATGCTGCTCTTACCTGTATTTTTTGTACCTCTGTTTGTATGCTAAAATTTCTAAATAAATAAATAAATAAATAAATAATCCTCTGAGGGTCCATCCCAGAGTTCTACTGCTTTGAAGCCAGGGTCCAAGCCATAGTACTATGGCTTGGACCCTGGGCCTATATATGAGAGAATGCATCTATGTGGTAAGTGTGCACTATATAAAACAAATCCTGCAGCATGCAGTGCATGATGAGAAGAAAACTGCGACTGTTTTATTACCTTCAGAAAAATATTCTCTACCATTTCGTAAAACAATTTTTCTTTTTAATTCTTGGACCCTGTGCGGAATTTTCAGATTGGGAGTTGGGGACCCTCAAAGGGTTAAAATATCAGACTACCACTACCATTATAGTTTGCTCCTAGCTTAGCGACAAATTCGTTTACTGATGTAGTCTTAGGAACGGAACTCCGTCATTAAGTGAGGAGAGGTTGTATTGTTTACTGTATTCTTACAATAAAGTAAGCTACAGAAAAGAAAATGTTATTCATGAAATCATAAGGAAGAGAAAATTCATTTACAGTACTGTACTGTTTTTATCAATACCATAAGTTCACGTCGTCTGTTTACCACAGGGGAAACCTCAAAGTTGCCATGTCAGCATAGTTGCTGATCCCCTGTATATGTATATGTTATCTGAGTATCATAGTGCCATCCATATGTTTTACATAGTTGACCCCTTGCTAGGCTCAGTGACTAGCTTGTGTGATGTCACGTGATGCCGCATGAGAGCGCTGCGCTCCCAGCCTCGTCCTCACTCCAACCATAGGTCTACGAACAGGCAACACAGGCATGCTGGGCCTCTTCCTCTAATATAAATGCTACCATCCAACAAGTGTGTTTAACTCCAACCATCACATCTCCGTGAACCCTCCCAACAGCCACACGGAAACCTCAAAGTCATCACACAAACCTCAATGTCATTACGAATAAACCTCAAAGTTATCACACAGAAACCTCAAAGTTATCACACAGAAACCTCAAAGTTATCACACAGAAACCTCAAAGTTATCATACAGAAACCTCAAAGTTATCATACAGAAACCTCAAAGTTATCATACAGAAACCTCAAAGTTATCACACAGAAACCTCAAAGTTATCACACAGAAACCTCAAAGTTATCACACAGAAACTTCAAAGTTATCACACAGAAACCTCAAAGTTATCACACAGAAACTTCAAAGTTATCACACAGAAACCTCAAAGTTATCACACAGAAACTTCAAAGTTATCACACAGAAACCTCAAAGTTATCACACAGAAACTTCAAAGTTATCACACAGAAACCTCAAAGTTATCACACAGAAACTTCAAAGTTATCACACAGAAACCTCAAAGTTATCACACAGAAACTTCAAATTATCACACAGAAACCTCAAAGTTATCACACAGAAACTTCAAAGTTATCACACAGAAACCTCAAAGTTATCACACAGAAACTTCAAAGTTATCACACAGAAACCTCAAAGTTATCACACAGAAACTTCAAAGTTATCACACAGAAACTTCAAAGTTATCACACAGAAACTTCAAAGTTATCACACAGAAACTTCAAAGTTATCACACAGAAACCTCAAAGTTATCACACAGAAACTTCAAAGTTATCACACAGAAACCTCAAAGTTATCACACAGAAACTTCAAAGTTATCACACAGAAACCTCAAAGTTATCACACAGAAACTTCAAAGTTATCACACAGAAACTTCAAAGTTATCACACAGAAACTTCAAAGTTATCACACAGAAACTTCAAAGTTATCACACAGAAACTTCAAAGTTATCACACAGAAACCTCAAAGTTATCACACAGAAACTTCAAAGTTATCACACAGAAACCTCAAAGTTATCACACAGAAACTTCAAAGTTATCACACAGAAACCTCAAAGTTATCACACAAACTTCAAAGTTATCACACAGAAACCTCAAAGTTATCACACAGAAACTTCAAAGTTATCACACAGAAACTTCAAAGTTATCACACAGAAACCTCAAAGTTATCACACAGAAACTTCAAAGTTATCACACAGAAACTTCAAAGTTATCACACAGAAACTTCAAAGTTATCACACAGAAACTTCAAAGTTATCACACAGAAACTTCAAAGTTATCACACAGAAACTTCAAAGTTATCACACAGAAACCTCAAAGTTATCACACAGAAACCTCAAAGTTATCACACAGAAACTTCAAAGTTATCACACAGAAACTTCAAAGTTATCACACAGAAACCTCAAAGTTATCACACAGAAACCTCAAAGTTATCACACAGAAACTTCAAAGTTATCACACAGAAACCTAGAGGGAAGAATAAATTTGAAAAAAAAAAAAAACACTTGTTATCCCCTTTCAGGGATACTTACTATTTAAAAGAACGATTTTGTATTTATTTAGCTAAGATGCAAGGAGGAGGAGGAGTGGGACCTACCTTAGGGTGGTCAGAGACCCAACCACATACTATTCTACCGATGGTGTTGGTGATGCCGATGGTGGACACCATTGTTGCAATTGATCCTTTACTCACGTCTTGTTGTGCTGCATACCCTGCCAACACAAATTACATAAAAAATGATTGATGCCACAGTCACACTGCAAGAATGATGTTTGGCCATTGTAAATAAACATATAATAATAGTTTAGTGTATATATGTATTATGATGGCTTACTGGCCATATAATGATAATTTACTGGTCATATAATGATAGTTTACTGGCCATATAATGACAGTTTACTGGCCACATAATGACAGTTTACTGGTCATATAATGATAGTTTACTGGCCATATAATGACAGTTTACTGGCCACATAATGACAGTTTACTGGTCATATAATGATGGTTTACTGGCCATATAATGATAGTTTACTAATTATATAGTAATTATGATTGACATTTTTGGAATTTGTTGTAAAACAGTTTGTTATAACATCACAAACATCAACTTTCTTGTAAAATAGTGTTGCACACTTGCCCTTTTACCTTACAAATTAATGAATCATCCAGTAGTTAAGTTACTTTATAAGTATCTATTAATTTTTGTATTAATTTTTCCTTATTAGCATTGCACCTTCAACTTTCTCTACTGAATGACAATGGATTTTTTTTGACATAAGAATCCATGTGGCAGAATTCAACTAAATTTTTCTGGCTTGAAATGCATTATATTACAGTAGACTGTCGATTAAAATGGTTTCCTTTAAAACATTAGCTCCATTACACTATTGTCAAATTGCGGCATATTTTCATTTCACACTTTGTAAAATTCAATTTAAATGGTTCTGCTTCTTGGTAGGAAAAAATTTCAGCGCCACAAGCTGGATGGCAGGGATCTTTCCCTCTGTGTAGTGAACGCTAGGCAGTCTGCCTGTGGGTCAAGTCATTGTCTTTTACAGGGGAGAAACTACCACCTTAACTGATGGTCTACCCTACATGTATACGTATAATTAGTGGGTTTATTTTGTGTTTGCTATTGTACTGGCTCATGTAACTACATTACTGGTATGACTTAGAGAAATAAATCATTATCATTGTCAAGTACCATGATATACTTTTAATCTACTATCAGCTATATTTATTTTTCTATGTTCATTAGAATTACTTTAATTCTATGTAGATTCTTAATTTTTTCAATGAACCAGCCATCTCCCACCGAGGCAGGGTGACCTATAAAAATAAAAATTATTGTTTTTTTTCAATGACCAGGCCATATCCCACCTAGGCAAGGTGACCTAAAAAGAAAAACTAAAGTTTCTCTTTTTATATTTAGTAATTTATAAAGGAGAAGGGGTTACTAGCTCCATTGTTCCCAGCATTTTAGTTGCCTCTTACAACACGCATGGCTTACAAAGGAAGGATTCTTTTCCACTTCCCCAAGAAGAACATCCTTAACCGCTTGAGGGTTTATGCCATTGTTCTACAGGTTTAAAGCCAGGGTTAGTGCTGTAGTAGTATGTGATGAGCTCAGCTCACTCAGATAAGCTGTGAGCAGTAAATTTGGGCCAAGATATGAGAGAATGGGTCTATGTGGTAAGCATGACCCATATAAAACAAATCCTGCAGCATGCAGCGCATGAAGAAGAGTGACTGTGTTTTTGGTTTAAAACAGCGACTTTGTGATATACAGTGGACCCCCCGTTAACGATATTTTTTCATTCCAGAAGTATGTTCAGGTGCCAGTACTGACTGAATTTGTTCCCATAAGGAATATTGTGAAGTAGATTAGTCCATTTCAGACCCCCAAACATACACGTACAAACGCACTTACATAAATACACTTACATAATTGGTCGCATTGGGAGGTGATCGTTAAGCGGGGGTCCACTGTATTTTCGTATGGCTTTTATGGTTGTATTCATGGTTTCTTGGTCTCATTTGATAAAATGGAAGATATATTACAGCAATAGAGATGATTTTGATTGGTTTTTATGAATGAAAATAGCTTGAAATTGAGGTCAAACTAGCAGAAATGTTCGAGTTTTGCCGATGTGGATAGGGTGGACAGGGGGGCAATGTGGCAGATGATGCAAATGTATGGACTAGGAGGTAGGTTATTGAAACCAGTTAAGAGTCTTTATGAGGATAGTGAGGCTCAGGTTAGAGTATGTAGGCGACAGGGAGATTATTTCCCAGTAAAAGTAGGCATTAGACAGGGATGTGTGATGCTATCATGTTTGTTCAATATATTTATAGATGGAGCTGCAAGAGATGTAAATGCTCGGGTATTGGCAAGAGGTGTGGGGTCATAAGATAAAGAATCTAACACAAAGTGGGAGATGTCACAGTTGTTTTTTGCTGATGACACTGTGCTTTTGGGAGATTCTGAAGAGAAGTTGTAGAGGTTGGTTGACGAGTTTGGTAGGGTGTGTAAAAGAAGGAAATTAAAAGTGAATATAGGAAAGAGTAAGGTGATGAAGATAACAGAAAAATTAGGTAACAGAAGATTAGATATCAGATTGGAGGGAGAGAGTATGGAGGAGGTGAATGTATTCAGATGTTTAGGAGTGGATGTGTCAGCAGATGGTTCTATGAAAGGTGAGATGAGTCAGAATTGACGAGAGGAAAAAGGCGAGTGGTGCACTGACGAATCTGTGGAGACAAAGAACATTATTCATGAAAACAAGGAGGGGAAAGTATGAGAGTAGAGTTATACCAACGCTCTTGTATAGGTGTGAGGCATGGGTGGTGAATGTTGCAACAAGGAGAAGGCTGGAGGCAGTGTAGATGTCATGTCTGCAGGCAATGTGTTGTGTGAATGTACAGAGAATCCGTAGTCTGGAGATTAGGTGCGGGATTACCAAAACTATTATCCAGAGGGTGGAAGAGGGGTTACTGAGATGGTTTGGACATGTAGAGAGGATGTAATGAAACAGAATGACTTCAAGAGTGTATAAATCTGTAGTGGAGGGAAGGTGGGGGTAGGGGTCATCCTAGGAAAGGTTGGAGGGAGGGGGTAAAGGAGGTTTTGTGTGCGAGGGGCTTGAACTTCCAGCAAGCATGCATGAGCATGTTAGATAGAAGCAAATGGAGACAAATGGTTTTTAGGACTTGTCATGCTGTTGGAGTGTGAGCAAGGAAACATTTATGAAGGGATTCAGGGAAACCAGCAGGCCGAGCTTGATTCCTGGAGATGGGAAGTACAGTGTCTGCACTCTGAAGGAGGGGTGTTAATGTTGCAGTTTTATAACTGTATTGTAAGTGCACCTCTGGCAAGACAATGATGGAGTGAATGATGATGAAAGTTTTTCTTTTTCAGGCCACCCTGCCTTTGTGGGAATTGGCTGATGTGTTAATAAAAAAAAAATACCTATGATAAAATTTGATAAATTATGCAAAATGGGAAGCATTTTATGGCTTTCCTTAGACTCTGAAGAACTGCCAGCATCACTACTCTTGCACTTTGGGGCCATCATTAAGCAAAATTAAGGGTCATTTTTGGACCATGGGTAACTGAAACTGCGGAAACCAAATCAATGGATATGAGGGTTCTACTGTATATACTATTTGTTCAACGTGATAGTAATTTTCTGACAAGTCTAAACAGCCCTTCAGAAGCTAATGCTAAAAGACAAAACATAAAACACTTATTACTGTGTCCCCTATATAAACAGAACATTAAACGTCAATATCAACCCTCCACTCAGACTTCTCCTAGACAGCTTCAACAGAACACACAGGCATAACACGAGGAACAACACACTTCTGGACATCCCTCGTGTCCGTCTCGCACTTTGCAAAAATGCAATGCACATAAAGGGTTCGAAGATCTGGAACTCCTTGCCCAAAACAGCAAGAGGTCCCCTGCCCACAAATCAATTTAGGACTATACTCAAAAATCATTTAAACTCTCAGTAACAACCATACCCACACTATGCTCAACTCTAACCAAATTTAAATCAATTCCCCCAAATATTTTATTATCCCTTAACTCTTAAGCCATTATTACAAACTTAAAAATATATGTTTGTATCATTAACTGTACAACCTCATATTAATAATAAAGTAAACAAACTTAATTACAAACTTAAAAATGCATGTTTGTATCATAAATTGTACTATCTCATATTAATAATAGAGTAAAATACTGAATACAGTGGACCCCCGCTTTACGATCACCTCCCAATGCGACCAATTACGTAAGTGTATTTATGTAAGTGCATTTGTATGTGTATGTTTGGGGGTCTGAAATGGACTAATCTACTTCACAATATTCCTTATGGGAACAAATTCGGTCAGTACTGGCACCTGAACATACTTCTGGAATGAAAAAAATATCGTAAACCGGGGGTCCACTGTACTTGTAATCTACCACTCTTCACATGTCTAGACTTAAGTAGTCTTTAAGTACAGTGGAACCTCAAGTTTTGAACGTATCACTTATTGAACTCTTCGAAAATCGAACGCTTTTTTCGAACCAACTTTGTCCCTATTATCGAACTTGCCCCTATTTTCGGATCACCAGGTACCTGACCTGTCCGGCAGCCCACTCTGTCTGCATCTCCGCACAGGCACCATGAGCCAGTCTGGTTTTGTTGATGCTTGATTGAACACTAACCTGCGCTCTCATTCAAACATTTTATGATTATTTCATTGTGTTTAGTGCTTGTGGAACTGTGAAATAAGCTATCATGGGCCCAAAGAAACTTGCTAGTGGTACCTGTGGTAAAGAAAGTGAGAAATCAGGAAGCTGATGTTGCAAAAGGTGTTGTTATTATTATTATAATCATGGGGGAGTGCTAAACCTGTAGGATTATACAGTGCATGTGGGGGGGATGGGAGGCATTCAGGCTCAATTCAGGGAACTGGAGCACAGATCCAATTCCCTAGATCAAGAGCCCCTCACCAGCATCAAGGAACCTCCCTTGAGGAGGCAAAAGGTGTTAATATGCTAACCAAAAAAAGACCACAGACAATCGATCAGGTTGAGTTGTTGTTGCTGGTGTGGATCAAGGATAAAGAGATGGCAGGTGATAGTGTTTCAGAGACGATTATTTGCAAAAAGGCAAGGAAGTTGCATGCCGATCTGGTACAGAAAACTCCTGGAACCAGTGCTGATAGTGAATTTAAGGCCAGAAGAGGCTGGTTTGACAGATTTAAGAAGTGTAGTCCTAGTGGCATTAAAAGACAGAGAAGGGAAGTAACCCCATAGAGGGCTTTGATACCTGAAGTCCTTATGGAGGGGGATTCTCCTTCCAAACACTAACCCCAACTCTCTCTCTCCTCCTCCCTATCTTCCAGATGCCATCACCAATCTTCAATAAAGGTAAGTAAAAATGTTATTTTATATGTTTTCTTTCTTTCAACACACCGGCCATATCCCACCAAGGCAGGGTGGCCCAAAAAGAAAAACGAAAGTTTCTCTTTTAAATTTAGTAATTTATACGGGAGAAGGGATTACTAGCCCCTTGCTCCCGACATTTTAGTCGCCTCATACAACACACATGGCTTATGGAGGAAGAATTCTGTTCCACTTTCCCATGGAGAATTTTATATGTTTATTTACATTTATTAATACATAGTTGAACACTATATTTGTTATGTGTATGTAAAACTATAACTAATCTCTAGAAAATGTATTTTTTTTGTGAATATTTTTTGGTTTCTGGAATGGATTAATTGTATTTCCATTATTTCTTATGGGAAATATTGCTTTGCTTTTCAGATTTTTCAAATTTAGAACTAGCTCCTGGAATGGATTAAGTTTGATATTTGAGGTTCCACTGTATTAGCTTAAGTCTGCCCGAAATGCCTTGGCATGATGGTGGCTTTCTTTGTACCTGGAGTTTACCTGGAGAGGGTTTCGGGGGTCAAAGCCCCTGTGGCCCGGTCTGAGACCAGGCCTCATGGTGGGACAGGGTCTGATCAACCAGGCTGTTACTGCTGGCCGCACGCAAGCTGACGTACGAACCACAGCCCGGTTGGTCAGGTACTGAATTTAGGTGCCTGTCCAGTGCCTTCTTGAAGACAGCCAAGGGTCTATTGGTAATCCTCCTTATGTATGCTGGGAGGCAATAGAACAGTTTTGCTTTCATACGGAGTGATTTTCGTATGTAGGTTTGGTACCAATCCCTCCAGGACCTTCCAAGTGTATATTATCTTGTATCTCTCTCGCCTGCATTCGAGGGAATACAGATCAAGGACCTTTAACCGTTCTCAGTAGTTTAGGTGCCTTATCGCACTTATGTGTGCTGTGAAAGATCTTTGTACACTCTCCAGGTCTGCAATGTGGCCAGCCTTGAAGGGGGCCATCAGTGTACGGCAGTATTCCAGCCTAGAGAGCACAAGTGATTTGAAAAGAATCATCATGGGCTTGGCATTCCTAGTTTTGAAGGTTCTCATTATCCATCCTATCATTTTCCTAGTGGATGAGGTAGATACATTGTTGTGGTCTTTGAAGGTGAGATCCTCTGACATTATCACTCCCAGGTCCTTCACATTACTTTTCTGCTCTATTGTATGGTTAGAATTTGTGGTTTACCCTGACACATTTTTAATTTCAAGTTTTCCATATCATTGAACTTCACATTGTTTTGAGTGGCCCATTTGAAGATTTGGTTGATGTCCACTTGGAGTCTCGCAGTGTCTTCGATGGAGGTCACTGCCATGGTGATCTGGGTGTCATCCGTAGAGGAAAACATGGAGCTATGGCTTACATCTCTGTCTATGTCAGAAATGAGAATGAGGAACAGAATGGGAGCGAGTACTGTGCCTTGTGGAACAGAGCTTTTTACCATGGCTGCCTGGGACTTTACTCTGTTTACTATTACTCTTTGTGTTCTATTTGTCAGGAAGTTGTAGATCCATCTACCAACTTTTCCCGTTATTCCTTTATCCAGCATTTTGTGTGCTATTACACCATGGTCACACTTGTCGAAAGCTTTTGCAAAGTCTATGTATACTACATCTGTATTTTGTTTATCCTCTACAGCATCCAGGACCTTGTCATAGTGGCTCAGTAGCTGGGACAGCAGGAGCGACCTGCTCTAAATCCGTGTTGCCCTGGGTTGTGTAACTGATGGGTATCTAGGTGGTTGGCGATCTTGCTTCTTAGAACCCTCTCAAAGATTTTCATGATATGGGATGTTAGTGCTATCGGTCTGAAGTTCTTTGTAATTACTTTACTGCCCCCTTCGTGGAGTGGGGCTATGTCTGTTGTTGTTAGTGTGTGTGGGATGACCCCTGTGTCCATGCTCCCTCTCCATAAAATGCTGAAGGCACATGATAGGGGCTTCTTGCATTTTCAAATTATAAAATAAAAACACGTATTGTAACCTTAGCAAAGAAATAAAGTTTTGATTTTGATTTTTATGGCTAGTTATATCACAAAAACTGAAATAATTTGGAATTTACTGGAAACTGTGTTTAAAGTGCAATGTATGACTGAATTATATATAGAGAAAAGTATTAACTAAGAGAGAAAGTTAGAAGAACTGACCTGGCAGGAACATGAATGGGACGAAGAGAGCCATGAGGGACATGAAGCCTGCCACACTCAGCACTACGAACGTAGGTGAAGACAACAATGAGAAATCAAAAATTCTTGTGATGACGTTAGTGAGCGCTGTGGGACAGCAGCGACATCGTCCACTGTCTTCTTCTTCAGCTATGTCCTCCATGGGAGGCAGATGTGTCACTGACTGGTGGTATCTATCAACTGATTCCTGTATTAAAGAATTATGCAAAATTATGATAAGAATATGTGAGGCGAGAGTTACAAGCATCATCACTATATTCTTGGTCTTCACTTTAATACCCAGTACTTTTACTATATTGTCGTAATACCGAGTGTCCGTGGTTCAATCCCCGGCCGGGTGGAAACACTGGGCATGGTTCCTTACACCTGCTGTCCCTGTTCACCTAGCAGTAAGGTGGGTGGCATCCTGAAAGGTTGTAGTATACCTTAGACTGTGCTTAGCTTTGAAATGAGCTGAGGTAGGATAACAGCTTGTAGCCTGGAAAATTTATGTGAGTTACACTGATGAAGCAACAATGTGTGAGTTACAGTGATAAAACAACAGCATCTTGCAACTGTCTTTACACTTCCTCTTCCCAACCCATCATCTTAATTCCTCCCCACTTCCTCGCTCACTTGTGACTTGACAATCTTCCAGGAAAGTCCAAAATGTCTTCTATAGTATCCTGTTTTTTGTGAACTTATTTTAAATTCTTAATTACACATTAACCAGGGAACAGGTGGGGCTTGAACCCATGGCGAGTCTCCTAAACCCACACCCATTCCCTGGTTTGTCTGTAATCAAGTTATTACTATTTTGTGAGCACATATGCTTGTCTACTGGAAACACTAAAGTGTCATCATTTATGAGGGCAACAAACACAAAGACAAATCAACTTACTGAACTTCGATATTCTGGGAGGCGACAGAGAGAACCAGAGTAGAATATATCTTCACGGTAAAATGGTCGAGCAGTCTCAGTGCGTAGTGCCAGCCGTGAGGGACGACGTAGTTGTTCTGCTCAGACATAACATAGTACTTTTATTATTAAATATATAATTCAAGAAGATAAATAAATAAATAAATAAATACACACACACACACACACAAACAAGACACTGTACACTGTGTACGTCAGACCCATACTGGAGTACGCAGCACCAGTTTAGAACCCACACTTGGTCAAGCACATCAAGAAATCAGAGAAAGTGCAAAGGTTTGCAACAAGCTTAGTTCCAGAGCTCAAGGAAATGTCCTACAAAGAAAGGTTGAGGGAAATTGGCCTGGCAACACTGGAAGACAGGAGGGTCAGGGGAGACATGATAGTGACATACAAAATACTGCATGGAATAGATAAGGTGGACAGAGACAGGATGTTCCAGAGAGGGGACAGAGAAACAAGGGGTCACAATTGGAAGCTGAAGACTCAGACGAGTCACAGGGATGTTAGGAAGTATTTCTTCAGTCATAGAGTCGTCAGGCAGTGGAATATTCTAGCAAGTGATGTAGTGGAGGCAGGAACCATACAAAGCTTTAAGACAAGGTATGACAAAGCTCAGGGAGCACAGAGAGAGAGAGAGACAGAGAGAGAGAGAGACAGAGACAGAGAGAGACAGAGACAGAGACAGAGACAGAGACAGAGAGACAGAGACAGAGAGAGAGAGAGAGAGAGAGAGAGAGAGAGAGAGAGAGAGAGAGAGAGAGAGAGAGAGAGAGAGAGAGAGAGAGAGAGAGAGAGAGAGAGAGAGAGAGAGAGAGAGAGAGAGAGACAGAGAGAGAGACAGAGAGAGAGACAGACAGACAGACAGAGAGAGAGAGAGACAGACAGAGAGAGAGAAAGAGAGAGAGAGACAGAGACAGACAGACAGACAGACAGACAGACAGAGAGAGAGAGAGAGAGAGAGAGAGAGAGGACCTAGTAGTGATCAGTGAAGAGGAGGGGCCAGGAGCTGAGTCTCAATCCCTGCAACCACAATTAGGCAAGTACAATTAGGCGAGTACACACACTTTCACACTTAATATCACACTTTCTCATGCTCTCACACATAGGAGCTGCAACTCGACCCCTGCAACCACAATTAGGTTAGTACACACCTGGTCAAACACGTCAAGAATTTAGAGAAAGTGCAAAGGTTTGCAACAAGGTTAGTTCTGGAGTTCAGGGGAATGTCCTACGAAGAAAGGTTGAGGGAAATCGGCCCAATGACGCTGGAGGACAGGAGGGTTAGGGGAGACATGATAATGACATACAAAATACTGTGTGGAATAGATAAGGTGGACAGAGACAGGATGTTCCAGAGAGGGGACACAGAAACAAGGGGTCACAACTGGAAGCTGAAGACTCAGATGACTCAAAGCGATGTTAGGAAGTACTTCTTCAGTCATAGAGTTGTCAGGAAGTGGAATAGTCTAGTAGTGATGTAGTGGAGGCAGGAGCCATACATAGCTTTAAGAAGAAGTATGACAAAGCTCATGGAGAGAGAAGAGTGACCCAGTAGTGGCCAGTGAAGAGGCAGGGCCAGGAGCCGAGTCTCGATCCCTGCAACCACAATTAGGTGAGTACGTACACACACACACACACACAGCTCTGAATACATAGTTAAGTTACAAGTGGATAGGGAAGCAAGTGAACGAAGCCAAACTACAAGAGAAGGGACTACACAGGCATGAGGAACTTCTTGTATGAAGTTCAATGGGACAGAGAACTGACAGAGAAATCAGTAAATGAGATGATGGAATATGTGACAATAATTTGCAAGGCAGCAGAGGAGAAGCTTGTGTCCAAGGGCAACAGACATAACGAGAAGGCCAGAATGAGCCCTTGGTTCACCCATAGGTGTAGAGAGGCCAAAACCAAATGCAACAGAGAATGGAAGATGCATAGGAGGCATAGGACCCAGGAGAATAAGGAGAGTAATCGAAGAGCCAGAAATGAATATGAACCGGTAAGGAGGGAGGCCCAGCGACAATACAAAACTGACATAGCAGTGAAATCCAAGTCTGACCCAAAGCTATTGTACAGCCACATCAGGAGAAAAACAACAGTAAAGGACTAGGTAATCAAGAAGTGACTGAGAACTATGTGAGGAGCTCAACAAGAAATTTAAAGAAGTATTCACAGTTGAGACAGAAAGGACTCCAGAAACATGGAGTTGTGGGGTACTTCATCAAGTGCTTGACACAATACACACAACTGAGGAGGAGGTGAAGAGGCTACTAAGTGAACTAGGTACTTCAAAGGTGATGGGGCCAGATAACACTTGTCCAAGGGTCCTGAGAGAGGGAGTAGAGGCACTCTGTGTACCACTAACAACAATCTTTAATACCTCTATCGAAACAGGGCGACCACCGAAGGTATGGAAGACAGAAAATGTAGTCCCAATTTTTAAAAAAGGAGACATACATGTAGCATTAAATTACAGACCAGTATCAAAGTCATGCATAGTATGTAAAGTCATGGAGAAGATTATCAGAAGAGTGGTGGAGCACCTAGAAAGGAATGAGCTTATACACAACAACCAGCACGGTTTCAGGGATGGGTAATTCTGTGTCACAAACCTCTTGGAGTTCTATGACAAGGTGACAGCAGAAAGACAAGAGAGAGAGGGGTGGGTAGATTGCATTTTCTTTGACAGTAAAAAGGCTTTTGACACAATTCCACACAAGAGATTAGTGCAAATGCTGAAGGGCAGATATAACAGGGAAGGCACTGCAATGGATCAGAGAATACCTGACAGGAAGGCAACAGTGAGTCATGGTACGTGACAGGGTATCAGACTGGGCGCCTGTGAAGAGTGGAGTTCCACAGGGGTCAGTTCTGTTTCTGGTTTATGTGAATGACATGACAGAAGGAATAGATTCAGAAATGTCTCTGCAGACGATGTGAAGTTAATGAGGAGAATTCAGTTGGAGGAGGACCTGGCAGAACTAAAAAGGGATCTGGACAGGCTACAGGCCTGGTCTAGCAACTGGCTCCTGGAATTCAACCCTACCAAGTGCAAAGTCATGAAGATCAGGGAAGGTCAAAGAAGACCGCTGACAGAATACAGCCTAGGGGGCCAAAGACTACAAACCTCACTCAAGGAAAAGGATCTTGGGTGAGTATAATACCAAACATATCTCATGAGGCACACATCAACCTGAAATGCCTAGGCATGCTAGTGGCCTTCTTCGTAATTAATATTTTATAATATGTAAACCACACATTGTAAGCTTTGTAAGGAAATAAACATTTTCAATTTCAAATAACTGCTGCAGCACACGGGCGACTAGCAAACCTAAGAATAACTTTCCGAAATCTGAGAAAGGAGTTTTTCAGGACTCTGTACATCGTGTACGTCAGACCTATGTTAGAGTATGCAGCACTAGTGTGCAACCCACACCTGGGCAAGCACATCAGGAAATTAGAGAAAGTGGAGAGGTTTGCAATGAGACTAGTCCCAGAGCTAAGGGGCATGTCCTGTGAGGAGAGGTTAAGGGAAATTGACCTTATGACACTAGAGGACAGGAGGGATGGGGGGACATGATAACAACATATAAAATACTGAGAGGAATTGACAAGGTTGACAGAGATAAGGTGTTCCAGATATGAGACACAATAACAAAGGGTCACAATTGGAAGCTGAAATACTTCCTGATATGGATGTCAGGAAGTATTTCTTCAGTCACAGAGTTGTGAGGAAGTGGAGTAGTCTGGAAAGTGAGGTAGTGGAGGCAGGATCTATACATAGCTTTAAGAAGAGGTATGATAAAGCTCACAGAGCAGGGAGTGACCCAGTAGTGACCAGTGAAGAGGCAGGGCCTGGAGCTTTGACTCAACCCCTGTAACCACAATTAATCGAGTACAATTAGGTGAGTACACACACACATGCACACACTCTCCCTCTCTCTCACTGTTTATAAAACTAATTGCTGTGCTAATATGATAAGTAAATTACATGGAAAACTGAAAAAGAAATAAGACAAGTAAACTACATTTCAATATACAAGTGAGTCAGTGTTTAGAAGACACTGTTGAACACACAGATATATACAGATCTTAGTGTTCTCTTTCATCTTCTCCATCCAGGTTCACTTGTATCAGTCATGTATTTATTTCTGTATTTACATTATTGTTACATTATAACAAATAAGAAGAACATACCAGCAGCTAGCAGATGAGGTTGAGCAAGAACTGGAGCACTCTTGTTGCGTGGGCAAGTGTTCACATTACTGACTCTGCTGTTATTGTGTTCGTCAGTGTTACTCATGTTCTTAAAGAGAGTTTCATTCTTGTTGTCGTCCAGCACTCGAGTGTTGTGGCTCTCAGCTCCATCAGTGCCACCTCCATCCCTCCCCTCACACTCTGACAAGATGAAGCACAAGTCTTTCTATCTGTTTATCTATCAGCCTGGCAATATATCTGATGCAATCTCCCTTTTATCACAGTGTAAATATGTTCCAGGTCCTCGGCACCTGTACCAGGCTCAGTCAGGTCACAAACACTCAGCAACTGAATATCTTCAGTGCACATTACAAACCATGCTGAAGGCACATGGTGACAATGAATACAGCCTCTGCTTACTTAACAATGGAGTTGCATTCCTAAGACCACATTGGTAAACGAATTCATTGCTCGGTGAGGAACATACTATAATGGTTGTGGGTTTGTGTCAACTAACTTTAATACTGTTTTAATGTCACCTGTGGACCATTTATAACAATGTTAGTATATTTTTAAATGTTTATACAGTAGTGTGCTGTATAGTGTAATAAACAGAATAGAGGAAATCAGCTAATCTATATATTATTTAGTTATTCATACTGGTCAAAGAGGCCATCATAAGTCTAAGTAGTCAGTAAATAAGTACATAGCTAAGTGAGGAGAGGCTGTATTAATTTGGAATTACCAATAGAAATGGGACAGTGCATAACAAATCTGCAAAAAACAAAGCCGCATATAAGACAAATGAGTAATAGTCATGGACGTAGTACATCAAACGCATTGTTTTTTGTCAGTTTATACTGTACAGCCTCTCCTCACTTAGCAACGTACTCATTTACTGATGACTCGGACTTACGACGGGCTCTCTGACCAGTACTCATGCCCAAATAATGTATAGCAGAGGTGATTTCCTCTATTCTGTTTATTACAGTATACAGTGCACTACTGTATAAACATTGAAAAATATACCAGAAATGTTATAAATGGTGCAAAGGTGACATTAAAACAATATCACAGATGGTTGACACAAACCCATTATCATTACAGTATGTTCCTCACTTAGTGACGAATTTGTTTACCAATGTGGTTTTAGGAACAGAACTCCGTCGTTAAGTGAGGAGAGGCTGTGGTTTCTCTCGAACAATATGCAAACAGTACAGTAGTTACTATTATTTAGACACACATAAAGTATATGAAATAAAAGTTTTGTTCAAACAGCAAACAAAAATAAGAATAGGTAAACAACAGTAAACATTTAACACTCTCACACTCCACTCTTGAAATTATTACTGCTCTCAGTGTCCACATTTAAAAAATAAAATCTGAAATAGTAAGGAAATCTTTTTCTGAAGGTAATTACACCAAAAGTACAAAATTTGATGGAAAATTTATGGAATTACAAAGGCACAAAGTTAATCTGGACAATTTATGCATCAGTGATTTGAGTCCTATTTTAAGTAAATTCCAATTCTTCCTTCAACCAAATTCTTAACTATTTCACTAGTATGTGTCTGTTAGATTGACCGAGCACAAGAAACTGCCCATTCAGTGATCACAACTACTCTATAAAGTGCACAGAAGTCAGTCCCTCAGCCTCCAGGCTGAGGGACTGACCACCTCAAATGCTTTTTCTCCAAAGTTGATGGACTGATTATGTCATCTTTATTTCATTACTTCTGCTCCCTTTGTATTTGACTGAAGAAGTCTACTGTGTAGGTGGAACGTTTCATCAATAAAGATAACCAGCCACTGCACATGTGTCTTAATCTTCAACTTACAATTTAAAAATAAAGTCCAAAATAAACACAGTAGACGTTCCTGCCATGAAAACAAAATTTCCTCTCTTCATTGATCACGGCCCCAGACCTCTCTATTTTGAATTCATCTTCACAAAAAAATGAAGATTTACCCTGTTTCTCAGATAATAATAAAACCAGGAACAATTGGTCATGGTTTATGGCATCTTAGAAATTAAATCAGACCTTTTAAAATCCTATAAAACAGACCAGGAAGTATAGGGAATCCTTAACTGTCTTCAGGAAAACCAACAATAGAATATTTCTGCTACTTTCAGCCCAATTTCAAGCAACTTTCATTCCAGAAACCAACCAAAATCATCTCTATTTCAGTAGTATGTCTTCCATTTTATCAAATGTTATCAAGAAACACATAAGTCAGAGTTTTATTTTGCTCATCATTCACTGTGAAGGGCAGGATTTCTTTTATAGTGTGCACACTCACAGCACAGACACATTCTCTCATATCTAGGCCAAACTTTACCTCTCACGGCTTATCTGAGTGAGCTGAGCTTATGATGTAGATCTACATGAGGGACCCTGGTATCAGTACTGTAGATCTATATGAGAGACCCTGGTATCAATACTAGATCTACGTGAGAGGACCCTGGTGACACTAGTAAGTCTCTGTGGTGACATCAGTAATCATTGTGAAGACAACAGTGGTGACACAGTGAAGACAACAGTGGTGACAACAGTGGTAGCAACAGTGGTAGCAACAGTGATGACAACAGTGATGACAACAGTGATGACAACAGTGATGACAACAGTGATGACAACAGTGATGACAACAGTGATGGCAACAGTGATGACAACAGTGATGACAACAGTGGTGACAACAGTGGAAACACTGGTACTCACCAATGAGTGGTATCTCGGTCTCTTCCTTGATAGGCTCTGGTCCTGAGACCACAATACCAGGAAAACTGTAGCGCTTGTGTACACCGCCGCCACCACCGCCATGACGCTCCAGCAATGCACGTGCCACTGCACTGCCATTTAACTGAAAATGCACCTCCGTGTACACATGAACAGTAGTTCGGGTATAATATAATATTTTTGCTACCTAGTTTTTTGTAATAATACATAATTAAAATTTACCACTCCATAACCTATGTCTAGTTTTAAGTAGTATTGGAAATGGTATAAAATATAGACACGTTGATGATTAAGACACATGTGCAACTATATCACTATATCTACTGCCTCTGAATCTGACTGAAGAAATCTACTGTGTAGGTGAAATGTTTCATCATTAAAGATACCCAACTGTTACACATGTGTCTTAATCTTGCATCTAGTTTTAAGTAGAACGTTTTAAGTAGAATGTTTTGAGTAGAATGTATTAGTATGCCCAAAATGCACAAGCATGCTAATGGTTTTGTCTGTGCCTAAAAATACTTTATTATGTAAACTACAGTTTGTATACTACATAAAGAAATAAAAGTTTTGATTCTGATTTTGATTTTTTAACTATAACAAGATTTATATTCAATAACAAGCTTTTAGTCCTAATTGAAAATGGAATAATCTTTACATACACTACCATACCCGGCTGCTTCTATGAATTTTCTTTGAAAATAGACTACAGTAAAATCGCTCATTAACAAACCTCAATTTAATGGATTTTGACAGTTTCGGACAAATGTTGGAGGCATCGAATAAAATGGAAAAGTCAATAATTTTGGACTTATAGGGTAGCAATAATGTCTACACCAAGTTCGATGACTCGAACATTTGTCCGGCATGGACTACAGTGGCCAGGTCCAGGATCTGACTCTTGTTATTGTTCCTTGAGCCACAGATCACCTCTGTTAGTTTACTGTTTGTGGTCTCTCTCTCTCACACACACAGACGGGACCAGGAGCTATGACTCTACTGCTGCAACCACAATTCGGTGGGTACACACACGTACACACACACACATGTACACATGTACACACACACACACACGCACACACATGTACACACACACGTACACACACACACGTACACACGCACACACACACACGTACACACACACACGTACACACACACGCACACACACACACACACACACACACACACACACACACACACACACACACACACACACACACACACACAAAAGAAATGACTGAGAAGTATGTGAAGAGCTAAACACGAGATTTAAAGAAGTATTTACAATGGCGACAAAAAGGACACCAGAAAGCATGAGTGGTGGGGTACACCAACAAGTGCTGGACACAATATATACAATTGAGGACGAGGTGAAGAGGCTGCTTAGTGAACTAGATATCTCGAAGGTGATGGAGCCAGATAACATCTCTCCACGGGTCCTGAGAGAGGGAGCAGAGGCACTCCGTGTACCACTAACAACAATCTTTCAACATATCCATCAAAACAGGCTGACTACCTGAAGTGTGTAGAACAGCAAATGTGGTGCCAGTTTTTAAGAAAGGAAACAGACATGCAGCATTGAACTAAAGACCAGTGTCACTGACATGGAGAAGATTATCAGGAGAAGCATGGTGGAGCACCTAGAAAGGAATTAGCTTATCAATGAAAACCAGCATGGTTTCAGGGATGGGAAATCCTGTTTCACAAACCTACTTGAGTTCTATGACAAAGTGATGACAGTAAGATGTAAGAAAGAAAGAAGAGAGAGAGAGAGAGAGAGAGAGAGAGAGAGAGAGAGAGAGAGAGAGAGAGAGAGAGAGAGAGAGAGAGAGAGAGAGAGAGAGAGAGAGAGAAGAGAGGAGAGAGACAGAGAGAGACAGAGACAGAGAGAGAGAGACAGAGAGAGAGACAGAGAGAGACAGAGAGAGACAGAGAGAGACAGACAGACAGAGAGACAGCCAGACAGCCAGTGAGACAGAGAGACAGCCAAGAGAGACAGTGAGACACACGAGAGAGAGAGAAGAGAGAGGGGAGAGGAGAGAGAAGAGAGAGAGAGAGAGAGAGAGAGAGAGAGAGAGAGTGTGTGAGAGTGTGAGAGAGAAGAGATAGAAGAGAGAGAAGAGAGAGTGAGAGAGAGAGAGAGTGAGAGAGAGTGAGAGACAGAGAATGAGAGACAGAGAATGAGAGACAGAGAGAGGGGTGGGTAGATTGCATTTTCTTGGACTGTCAGAAGGCTTTTGACACAGTTCCCCACAAGAGATTAATGAAAAAGCTGGAAGACCAGGCAGGTATAACAGGAAAGGTACTGCAATGGATCAGAGAATGCCTGACAGGAAGGCAACAGTGGGTCCTAGGACCAGTGCTGTTTCTGGTACATACATGTGAATGACATGGCGGAAGGGATAGACTCCGAAGTGTCCCTGCTTGTAGATGGTGTGAAGCTAATGAGGAGAATTCAATCAGATGAGGCTCAGGCAGGACTACAAAGGGACCTGGACAGGCTGCAAGTCTGGCTCCTGGAGTTTAACCCCACCAACTGCAAAGTCATGAAGATTGGGGAAGGGCAAAGAAGACCACAGACAGAGTAGAGTCTAGCAGGCCAAAATCTGTAAACCTCATTCAAGAAAATAACTGCCGCAGCATATGGGTGCCTGGCAAACCTAAGAATAGCGTTCCAATACCTCAGTAAGGGATCGATCAGAACTCTGTACAAAGTGTACATCAGGCCCATATTAGAGTATGCAGCACCAATTTGGAACCCACACCTGATCAAGCATGTCAATAAATTAGAGAAAGTGCAAAGGTTTGCAAAGAGACTAGTCCCAGAGCTAAGGGGCATGTCCTACTAGGAGGCTGAGGGGAATCAATCTGATGACACTGGAGGACAGGAGAGACAGGAGGAACACGATAACTACATTTTTTTATTATCACACTGGCCGATTCCCACCAAGGCAGGGTGGCCCGAAAAAGAAAAACTTTCACCATCATTCACTCCATCACTGTCTTGCCAGAAGGGTGCTTTACACTACATATAAAATAATAATAAGAATTTACAAAGTGGACAGAGACAGGATGTTTTAGAGATGGGACACACCAACAAGGGGTCACAACTGGAAGTTAAAGATTTAGATGAATGGCATGGATGTTAGAAAGTACTTGCTCAGAGTTGTCAAGAAGTGGAATAGTCTGGAAAGTGATGTAGTGGAGCCAGGAACAATACACAGCTTTAAGAAGAGGTATGATAAGGCTCATGGAGCAGGGAGAGAGTGATCTAGTAGCGACCAGTGAAGAGGCAGAGCCAGGAGCTATGACTCGACCCCAATTAGTCAAGTACACACCTTCCTCAGTCACTCTTCAGTTTTCCTCTAGACAAAGTGTGTTTCATATGATATTATTAATGAATTAAGTAAAGTATACTTAATAATGACTTAATTAAAGTGTTGATGGCAACAGTAACTGTGAAGTTCACAGTTATGTCTTCATCAAGGTACAGTCTTACCTTCATCAAGGTACAGTCTTACAATCATCAAGGTAGAGTCTTACCTTCATCAAGGTACAGTCTTACCTTCATCAAGGTAGTCTTACCTTCATCAAGGTACAGTCTTACCTTCATCAAGGTAGTCTTACCTTCATCAAGGTACAGTCTTACCTTCATCAAGGTACAGTCTTACAATCATCAAGGTGGAGTCCTACCTTCATCAAGGTACAGTCTGACCTTCATCAAGGTACAGTCTTACCTTCATCAAGGTAGTCTTACCTTCATCAAGGTACAGTCTTACCTTCATCAAGGTACAGTCTTACCTTCATCAAGGTACAGTCTTACCATCATCAAGGTACAGTCTTACCATCATCAAAGTACAGTCTTACCATCATCAAGGTACAGTCTTACCTCCATCAAGGTACAGCCTTACCATCATCAAGGTACAGTCTTACCTTCATCAAGGTACAGTCTTACCTTCATCAAGGTACAGTCTTACCATCATCAAGGTACAGTCTTACCATCATCAAGGTACAGTCTTACCATCATCAAGGTACAGTCTTACCATCATCAAGGTACAGTCTTACCATCATCAAGGTACAGTCTTACCATCATCAAGGCACAGTCTTATCATCATCAAAGTACAGTCTTACCATCATCAAGATACAGTCTTACTTTTTTCAAGGCACAGTCTTACCATCATCAAGTACAGTCTTACCTTCATCAAGGCACAGTCTTACCTTCATATCAGCATCATTGAGAGGATCGTCCATGTTAGTCTTGGAGGGAGACTTAGAGTTCATGGAGGCCATGGAGAGCGCAGACGCACACTGCCGCATTTGTTCATCCCGAGCTTTCTTGATCCTGCAACAATGCACATTACAAGTGCAAATTACAATAAACTTACATTTTCAATATTTCTGTTTGTCAAACTATTTACTCTTAACATAAATAGTTAATTCAATGTCATTATTATGCACTCCATACCTAAAGTGTGGGTGGTAGTCTGCCCATACCCATGGTATGAGTGGGTCACAGAGGGACATATGTATTGGGTACAGAATCTGGGCCTCAAAATTTTGATATCTATCTCGGTAAAGAGACCTGGTGTCTGTTCTCAGATTATAACTAGTATTGCATCCCAGATGTGACCTTTGAGAAGTGTCACTATCTTGGTAGACGGTGCAACTTAAAGTCTTAATTGGAGGACATCAAATTCATGCAGACAGAAGAAAGAATTTGAGTATGAGGTGCTATCAGAACGTTTCTAGATTTTTGTAAAAAAAAAAAGACAAAAAAAAAAAAACATATATAGGCTTATCTTATCACCTGGTTGAAGTTATGTCCCTGGAATTACTCTCCCTAGAAGTACTCTCCATGGAAGTACTCTCCCTGGACATTCTCTTCCTGGAAGTACCCTTCCTGGAAGTACTCTCTATGGAAGCACTCTCACTGGGTGGCTATACACTGATCCCGGTGCCTCTGCCACTTCTTGAAATATTTCTGGAACTTTTCTTTGTTAACAGTGTGTAGCTTGGCCTGTGATTCTGCTGAATCTCCTCCATGTTGTTAAAACATCGCCTCTTGAGTGACCGCGGGTTCAGTCCCGGCCGGAGATATGGTTTGTTTGCAATCGTGTCATTACGATTTCGTGAGTCAGTCTTGAGTGACATTTTCATTTTTGGGAAGAAAAAGAAGTCACAGAGGCTAGATCTAGGGTGTAGTGAGGGAGGTGGTTGATCGTCATGTTGTTCTTCGCCAGATAACACTGAACAATGTCTCATGCCATTGGATACCCACAATGCCAGACTTTTCTTTTTCATGCATTTCTTCAAATGTCTCAGAATCTTGATATAAAAGTTTTGGTTAACTGTCTGCCCTGGTGGAACAAATTTCTGATGAATGATTATCACTGTTAAAAAAAAAATTGAGCATGCTCTTGACTTGGCCTGCTTTTCTTTCTGATCTGAGCCATTTGGGGCATTTCCATCGTTGGCATCTGCTGTTGATGCTGATGGACGGCCAGAATGTCCATCAACTTCAACTGACGTTTGTTGTGTTTTAAATTGAGAAAACCACTCAAAACACTGTTTTATTCATTACTTCTTCATCAAATGCTTGCTGAAGCATTTTGTGAGTTTCACCGCTGTTTTACCAAGCTTGACACACACACACACACACACACACACACACACACACACACACACACACACACACACACACACAAATATTCCATTCCGTTACAAAAAAAAATTGCAATAACACAATGATAACACAACAAAAATATTTCTCACCTAACCTCAGCAGAATGACCGAGCACATTGTAACTGACCGCGCTACTTGACAACAGTGTGTACTGTCTAGTGTGATCTACAATGCTGTCAAATTTCACCCAGGAAGGGCACAAAAATTTGTAGAACTTTTTGATAGCACCTTGCACATGAGAAATTAAACATAGCTCTCAGCCCCAATGATTCAGTGTTGTATATGTAGGTTATCAAGTACACACAATGGTAAGACTGACTTATGGTAAGTAGCAGTGGTAGCAAACAGACTGACCTCATAAGCAATGGAGTTCCTGGAGGCTCAGAATCTTCATCAGAGGACTGTGTGGTGGGTTGTAGAGGCCTGAACGCCAACCCAAAAATGGCACATGATAGTGTTATTCCTGGTGAAGATGACACAACAGCATGTTAGTATTTGAGGTGAGAGACAACTTGTTTGTAAATCAGGGAATGGGTGGGACTTGAACCCACGGCAAGTGAGTGCTATAACTTCCAGGCCAGTGCGCTAACTGCTGTACAGTACCAGCTGACTCTGATAGGAGACATCCAACTAGCTATATTTCTGTACACAATAGGGAGGTTAGCATGGGCCACCACTGTGACCACAAAGGCAGGCTTGTACAGACAAATCTAGGACCAGCGTGGCTGTGACGTGCTCTAGCTCAAGCCCCCTCCAAACCATCATTATGACTCATGAAAATGTTATAACATGAGTCAGGTGGTACAGTGGTTAGCACACTGGCCTGGGAGGTCTAGCACTCACTTGCCATGGGTTCAAACCCTCAACCATTCTCTCACTTGTTAACAATTGTATTATTACAATTTCCATAGTCAGGATATACCTTTGAGCTTCGAGAGTCTTTCTACTCCCGGAGCCCAGCCATGGGCAAGGTTTATCTAGTGTTAGCCTGGTTAACCAGGCTGTTGGTGCTGGTGGCTCACTGTCCCACATATCCATCACAGCCTGGTTGATCTGGCACCTAGTGAAGAAACTTGTCAAGTTTTCTCTTGAAAGCTTCTACACTTGTTCCAGCAGTGTTTCTGATATATTCTGGTAAGATGTTGAATAATCTGGGGCCATGAATGTTGATACAGTGTTCCCTTAATGTGCCCACCACACCCCTGCTTTTTACTGGGTTCTTTTGCACTTCCTCACATATCTCTCATTCCAGTATGTAGTTATGGCAGTGTGTAGACTTAGGATCAGACCCTCGAGTACTTTCCAGGTATATATTATCAGCCTATAATGCCAAGGCATAACAGAGGCTCTCTTTGCACTGCAACCATCATTGTAAAAATATAATCTCAATGTGCTACTTGCAAAGAAATAAATGAATCTGAATCTTTCTCTCCTCCATTTCAGTGAGTACATATTTAAGACTTTAAGGAGTTCCCAGTAATTTAAATGCTTTACTGGCTCTGTGTGGGCTGTCGGCAATCTCTATTTGTTCAAGGTTTGATATTTCTCCTGCATTGAATGGGGCCGTCAGCGCTGAGCAATATTCCAAATGAGGGAGCACTAGCGATTTGTAAAGTGTCACCATTGGCATTATTTCTTGTCTTGAAAGTTCTCATTATCTACCCCATCATCCTCCTGGCTGTTGTGACCTTTGTTTTATGCTCATTGAAAGAAAGGTCAGATGACATAATTATTCCCAAGTCTTTCACGTTTTCCTTTCATTCTATTTGGTGATCCTCTTGAGTTTTGTATACATTGTTCCTTTTGAGTTTTTTATTCTTTCCATACCAAAGCATTTGGAGCTTATCACCATTGAATGTCATGTTGTTCTCCACTGCCCACTGGAAAACACTGCTTATATCTTCCTGTAATTTTTCAGTGTCTTCTACCATAGTGACTTGCATGGTTATTTTAGTGTCATCTGCATGTGATGATACAAAACTGTGATGGGTGTTTTTATCCATGTCTGTTATGAGGATGAGAAACAGCAGAGGTACCAGAATAGTGCCTTGGGGGAACTAGGCTTTTTACCTTGCTGATGCTTCGAACCTAAAGACAATCCTCAATACAGAATTTTCTCCTTCCAACTTTTAAAATTTTCCACACTGGTGTATGGTAGGCAGGACCAGAGTCTAGCAACAACCGACATGTGCGGGAGCCATTTTACTTACTGACCACATTCCCAGCATCCTGGAATGGCTGTGATAACTTTCAAAACACTCATTAAAAAAAAGATGCCTCCTAAATCATTGATGGTATACCTGGAGAGGGTTTTGGAGGGTCAGCACCCCTGCAGCCCAGTCTGAGACCAGGCCTCGTGGTGAACAAGGGTCCGATCAACCAGGCTGTTACCGTTGGCCACACATAAACCAATGTAAGAACCACAGCCCAGCTGATCAGGTACTGACTTTAGGTGCCTGTCCAGTGTCTTCTTGAAGACAGCCAGGGGTCTATTGGTAATCCCCCTTATGTATGCTGGGAGGCAACTGAACAGCCTTGAGCTCCTGACACTTACTGTGTTGTCTCTTAGTGTACACATAGTGCCCCTGCTTTTCAGTAGGGAAATCTGCATCTCCTGCTGAGCCTTTTGATTTCATAGGGAGTGGTTTTTGTGTGCAAATTTGGTAATAATGGTAGAGAGCAAAACTGAAATGTGTTGGTGAACATCTGATAATTTTGTGTGTAAAACGGCTTGAAATTTTTATTCCCATTAAATCCCGTTTGTTATATCTGAGTCTACCTCTTCTCAGTAACTTCAATATTTAATGGCTGGTATATCTTAGGGTCAGGATAGTGCCCATCAAATTCATTTTGTCTGTGGGAAAATTTATCAATACACTAAATTTTTGTATAAAACAGAATAACTGGAAACTGACAGTAACTGTAGACTGACTTTTCAGATAGGTTTCAAAATATTAATGCTGATGCATTTTATAAAATGGAAAACAACCTGGTCTAAGACCGAGCCACGGGGGCACTGACCCCCGAAACCCTCTCCAGGTAAACTCCAGGTAAACTCCAGGTAAACTCCAGGTAAACTCCAGGTAAACTCCAGGTAAACTCCAGGTAAACTCCAGGTAAACTCCAGGTAAACTCCAGGTAAACTCCAGGTAAACTCCAGGTAAACTCCAGGTAAACCTTCAAGTTTACATTATTTAGGTGAAAAATTTAAATTTTAATAAAACTGTTGAAAAACTTTGAATTGTTGGTATTAGAGAAATTACTGGAGAATGATGATAGATAGATGGAGGGGTGGGCTGTTATAGGTAGATGGAGGGGTGGGCTGTTATAGGTAGATGGAGGGGTGGGCTGTTATAGGTAGATGGAGGGGTGGGCTGTTATAGGTAGATGGAAGGGTGTACTGTTATAGGTAGATGGAGGGGTGTACTGTTATAGGTAGATGGAGGGGTGTACTGTTATAGGTAGATGGAGGGGTGGGTTGTTATAGGTAGATGGAGGGGTGGGTTGTTATAGGTAGAAGGAGGGGTGGGTTGTTATAGGTAGATGGAGGGGTGGGCTGTTATAGGTAGATGGAGGGGTGGGTTGTTATAGGTAAAGGAGGGGTGGGTTGTTATAGGTAGATGGAGGGGTGAGCTGTTATAGGTAGATGGAGGGGTGGGTTATAGTAGATGGAGGGGTGAGCTGTTATAGGTAGATGGAGGGGTGGGCTGTTTAAGGTAGATGGAGGGTGGGCTGTTATAGGTAGGAGGGTGGGTTGTTTATAGGTAGATGGAGGGGTGAGCTGTTATAGGTAGATGGAGGGTGGGTTATAGGTAGATGGAGGGGTGAGCTGTTATAGGTAGATGAGGGGTGGGCTGTTATAGGTAGATGGAGGGGTGGGCTGTTATAGGTAGGAGGGTGGGTTGTTATAGGTAGATGGAGGGGTGAGCTGTATAGGTAGATGGAGGGTGGGTTATAGGTAGATGGAGGGGTGGGCTGTTATAGGTAGATGAGGGGTGGGCTGGTTTATAGGTAGATGGAGGGGTGGGTTATAGGTAGATGGAGGGGTGAGCTGTTATAGGTAGATGGAGGGGTGGGTTATAGGTAGATGGAGGGGTGGGCTGTTATAGGTAGATGGAGGGGTGGCTGTTACAGGTAGATGGAGGGGTGGGCTGTTACAGGTAGATGGAGGGGTGGGCTGCTACAGGTAGATGGAGGAGTGGGCTGTTACAGGTATATGAGGGGTGGGCTGTTACAGGTAGATGGAGGGGTGGGCTGTTACAGGTAGATGGAGGGGTGGGCTGTTATAGGTAGATGGACGGGTGGGCTGTTACAGGTAGATGGAGGGGGGCTGTTATAGGTAGATGGAGGGGTGGCTGTTATAGGTAGATGGAGGGATGGGCTGTTATAGGTAGATGGAAGGGTGTACTGTTATAGGTAGATGGAGGGGTGTACTGTTATAGGTAGATGGAGGGGTGGGTTGTTGTAGGTAGAAGGAGGGGTGGGTTGTTATAGGTAGATGGAGGGGTGGGCTGTTATAGGTAGATGGAGGGGTGGGATGTTATAGGTAGATGGAGGGGTGTACTGTTATAGGTAGATGGAAGGGTGGGCTGTTTAGGTAGATGGTAGGGGTGGGCTGTTATAGGTAGATGGAGGGTGGGTTGTTATAGGTAGATGGAGGGTGGGTTGTCATAGGTAGATGAAGGGGTGGGCTGTTAAAAGTAGATGGAGGGGTGGGCTGTTATAGGTAGATGGTGGGGTGTACTGTTATAGGTAGATGGAGGGGTGTACTGTTATAGGTAGATGGAGGGGTGGGTTGTTATAGGTAGAAGGAGGTGGGTTGTTATAGATAGATGGAGAGGTGGTGTTATAGGTAGATGGAGGGGTGGGTTGTTATTAGATAGATGGAGAGGTGGGCTGTTATAGGTAGATGGAGGGGTGGGCTGTTATAGGTAGATGGAGGGGTGTACTGTTATAGGTAGATGAGGGGTGGGTTGTTATAGGTAGATGGAGGGGTGGGTTGTTATAGTAGAATGGAGGGGTGGGCTGTTATAGGTAGATGGAGGGGTGGGTTGTTATAGATAGATGGAGGGGTGGGCTGTTATAGGTAGATGGAGGGTGTACTGTTATAGTAGATGGAGGGGTGTACTGTTATAGGTAGATGGAGGGGTTGGTTGTTATAGGCAGATGGAGGGTGGGCTGTTATAGGTAGATGGAGGGGTGGGATGTTATAGGTAGATGGAGGGGTGGGTTGTTATAGGTAGATGGAGGGGTGGGTTGTTATAGGTAGATGGAGGGGTGGGCTGTTAAAAGTAGATGGAGGGGTGGGCTGTTATAGGTAGATGGAGGGGTGGGCTGTTATAGGTAGATGGAGGGATGTTACTGTTATAGGTAGATGGAGGGGTGGGTTGTTATAGGTAGATGGAGGGTGTGGGTTGTTTAGGTAAGAATGGAGGGTGGGCTGTTATAGGTAGATGGAGGGGTGGGTTTTTATAGATAGATGGAGGGGTGGGCTGTTATAGTAGATGGAGGGGTGTACTGTTATAGTAGATGGAGGGGTGTACTGTTATTGGTAGATGGAGGGGTTGGTTGTTATAGGAAGATGGAGGGGTGGGCTGTTATAGGTAGATGGAGGGGTGGGCTGTTATAGGTAGATGGAGGGGTGGGTTGTTATAGGTAGATGGAGGGGTGGGCTGTTAAAAGTAGATGGAGGGGTGGGCTGTTATAGGTAGATGAGGGGTGGGCTGTTATAGGTAGATGGAGGGGTGGGCTGTTAAAAGTAGATGGAGGGGTGGGCTGTTATAGGTAGATGGAGGGGTGGGCTGTTATAGGTAGATGGAGGGGTGGGCTGTTATAGGTATATGAAGGGGTGGGTTGTTATAGGTAGATGGAGGGGTGGGTTGTTATAGGTAGATGGTGGGGTGGGCTGTTATAGGTAGATGGAGGGGTGGGTTGTTATAGGTAGATGGAGGGGTGGGTTGTTATAGATAGATGGAGGGGTGGGTTGTTATATGTAGATGGAGGGGTGGGTGGTTATAGGTAGATGGAAGGGTGGGTTGTTATAGGTAGATGGAGGGGTGGGTGGTTATAGGTAGATGGAGGGGGTGGGTTGTTATAGATAGATGGAAGGTGGGTTGTTATAGGTAGATGGAGGGGTAGGTTGTTATAGATAGATGGAAGGGTGGGTTGTTATAGGTAGATGGAGGGGTAGGTTGTTATAGATAGATGGAAGGGTGGGTTGTTATAGGTAGATGGAGGGGTGGGTTGTTATAGACAGATGGTAAGTTAAGTTAGGTTAGTTCAGCTTAAATTAGGTAAAGTTAGGTTAGGTTAAGTTAGGTTAGATTAAGTAAAGTTAGGTTAGGTAAAGTTAGGTTAGGTTAGGGGAACGAGAGACAAGGAGAGGGAGAAAGGATGAACAGGATGAAGAGAGGGGTTGAAACAGAAGGAGAGAGGGGTTATAAAAAGAAAAAAGAATAAAAGAAATATAGAATAAAAAGAACAACTTTTTCTTAACTGGTTACAGAAAATACTATATACACTGTCATAACAGTTAGGAATGACCAGTCATCATCCTATACACAATGACCATCAGTAACATGTTAACTAACTGTTCACAAAATTGTAATGACATGATTGCAAACAAACCTTACCACGGGCGGGATTGAACCCGCGGTCAGAGAGTCTCAAAACTCCAGACCGTCGCGTTAGCCACTGGACCAGCTAGCCACAATAAGATTCGTCCAACTAGGTATATTTCTACACCATAGGAAGGTTAGCATAGGCATTTGCATTTGTGGTCACAGTGGTGCCTATGCTAACCTTCCTACGGTGTAGAAATATACCTAGTTGGACGAATCTTATTGTGGCTAGCTGGACCAGTGGCTAACGCGACGGTCTGGAGTTTTGAGACTCTCTGACCGCGGGTTCAATCCTGTCTGTGGTATGGTTTGTTTGCAATCGTGTCATTACGATTTTGTGAGTCATGTTGACGGCATTGAGGGGACTTGAGCTAGAGTTCGTCATGGCCACGCTAGCTGGAGATTCGTCTGTAAAAACTTGCATTCGTGGTCACAGTGGTGCCTATGCTAACCTTCCTATGGTGTAGAAATATACCTAGTTGGACGAATCTTATTGTGGCTAGCTGGTCCAGTGGCTTACGCGACGGTCTGGAGTTTCGAGACTCTCTGACCGCGGATTCAATCCCGCCCGTGGTATGGTTTGTTTAACTAACTGTTACAATACTGGGTACATAATAACCATCATTAACATGTTAACTAACTGTTATAATACTGGGTACATAATGACCATCAGTAACATGTTAACTAACTGTTACAATACTGGGTACATAATGATTATCAGCAAAATGTTATATAACTGCTATAATACTGGGTACATAATGACTATCAGCAAAAGGCTAACTATTACAATACTGGGTACATAATGATTATCACCAACATGTTAACTGTTACAATACTGGGTACATAATGACCATCAGCAACACGATCACTACTGACCTGCATACACAATGAGTGTCCACCGCCAGTTCATGGTAGCAATGAGGTAGTTATTGAGGGGAGCAAAGATAAAGGTGCCGATGCCAGAGCCACAGACAGCGATACCGGTGGCCAGAGCTCGACGCTTCTCAAAGTAGAAACCTGTAGCTATCACAGCTGGTACATATATCAGTCCAAAACCAACACCTGCAAGATGAACAGAAACCTGTAGTTATCACAGCTGGTACATATCTCACACCAAAACTAACACCTGCAAGATGAACAGAAACCTGTAGTTATCACAGCTGGTACATATCTCACACCAAAACTAACACCTGCAAGATGAACAGAAACCTGTAGTTATCACAGCTGGTATATATCTCACACCAAAACTAACACCTGCAAGATTAAACTGAGGAAATAATTCAGTGATTTACTTATACAATAACATGTCAATACACTGGCCAACACATGAGAATAACAGACAACAACAAGAGGAGGTGGATGAAGAAGAATGTTCATACAACCTCAATAAAAACTCTCACTTTTTTCTTCGAAGCGTTTTTGTTTTTGTACTTCCCCAGTGATAATAAGTAAAGTCACTCTGTCTGACTTTTTGGGTTATCTCAGGTTCTCTACACATATGCTGCTATGTATGATAATCTATGTAACTGTATCTGTGTATACCTGAATAATACTCGGAGGCTGTGGGTGCCCACACCTGCAGCTACAGGAAGACACCATCAGCATATATAAGAACAGAACAGATATATAATAATATGCTTCCCTCACACTCTTCACTGAACAATGCTTACTTCTGGTTTTACTGATCCCACAAAAAATAATCTGACTCGTGAAGTTGTGATAACATGGTCGCAAACAAATCATGGAACTTCCCAATGGTATACAGGTATATATTTAGTTGGATTAGTTTTATTAGAGACAGCTGGTCTAGTGGTTAATGCACTGGCCTGGGAGTTTGCTCACTTCCCATTGGTTCAAACCTCACCCGTTCTCTGATTTAATTATCTGTCTGAATTATTCTTAATCTCTTCCTGCGCTTGTTTTCAGTCTGTTAATTTTGTTTTTCTCATTTACACAGCTACTTTATTTTGAGTCTTCTCTGGTGTTATTTTTATTTTTTTTTTATTATTAACACACTGGCCAATTCCCACCAAGGCAGGGTGGCCCAAAAAAGAAAAACTTTCACCATCATTCACTCTATCACTGTCTTGCCAGAAGGGTGCTTTACACTACAGTTTTAAAACTGCAACATTAACACCCCTCCTTCAGAGTGCAGGCACTGTACTTCCCATCTCCAGGACTCAAGTCCGGCCTGCCGGTTTCCCTGAATCCCTTCATAAATGTTACTTTGCTCACACTCCAACAGCACGTCAAGTATTAAAAACCATTTGTCTCCATTCACTCCTATCAAACATGCTCACGCATGCCTGCTGGAAGTCCAAACCCCTTGCACACAAAACCTCCTTTACCCCCTCCCTCCAACCTTTCCTAGGCCGACCCCTACCCCACCTTCCTTCCACTACAGACTGATACACTCTTGAAGTCATTCTGTTTTGCTCCATTCTCTCTACATGTCCAAACCACCTCAACAACCCTTCCTCAGCCCTCTGGACAACAGTTTTGGTAATCCCGCACCTCCTCCTAACTTCCAAACTACGAATTCTCTGCATTATATTCACACCACACATTGCCCTCAGACATGACATCTACACTGCCTCCAGCCTTCTCCTCGCTGCAACATTCATCACCCATGCTTCACACCCATGTAAGAGCATTGGTAAAACTATACTCTCATACATTCCCCTCTTTGCCTCCAAGGACAAAGATCTTTGTCTCCAGAGACTCCTAAGTGCACCACTCACCCTTTTCCCCACATCAATTCTATGATTCACCTCATCTTTCATAGACCCATCCGCTGACACGTCCACTCCCAAATATCTGAATACATTCACCTCCTCCATACTCTCTCCCTCCAATCTGATATCCACTCTTTCATCACCTAATCTTTTTGTTATCCTCATAACCTTACTCTTTCCTGTATTCACTTTTAATTTTCTTCTTTTGCATACCCTACCAAATTCATCCACCAATCTCTGCACCTTCTCTTCAGAATCTCCCAAGAGCACAGTGTCATCAGCAAAGAGCAACTGTGACAACTCCCACTTTATGTGTGATTCTTTATCTTTTAACTCCACGCCTCTTGCCAAGACCCTCGCATTTACTTCTCTTACAACCCCATCTATAAATATATTAAACAACCACGGTGACATCACACATCCTTGTCTAAGGCCTACTTTTACAGGGAAATAATTTCCCTCTTTCCTACATACTCTAACTTGAGCCTCACTATTCTCGTAAAAACTCTTCACTGCTTTCAGTAACCTACCTCTTACACCATACACCTGCAACATCTGCCACATTGCCCCCCTATCCACGCCTTTTCCAAATCCATAAATGCCACAAAGACCTCTGTAGCCTTATCTAAATACTGTTCACTTATGTGTTTCACTGTAAACACCTGGTCCACACACCCCCTACCTTTCCTAAAGCCTCCTTGTTCATCTGCTATCCTATTCTCTATCTTACTCTTAATTCTTTCAATAATAACTCTACATACACTTTACCAGGTATACTCAACAGACTTATCCCCCTATAATTTTTGCACTCTCTTTTGTCCCCTTTGCCTTTTTACAAAGGAACTATGCATGCTCTCTGCCAATCCCAAGGTACCTTACCCTCTTCCATACATTTATTAAATAATTGCACCAACCACTCCAAAACTATATCCCCACCTGCTTTTAACATTTCTATCTTTTTCCCATCAATCCTGGCTGCCTTACCCCCTTTCATTTTACCTACTGCCTCACGAACTTCCCCCACACTCACAACTGGCTCTTCCTCACTCCTACAAGATGTTATTCCTCCTTGCCCTATACACGAAATCACAGCTTCCCTATCTTCATCAACATTTAACAATTCCTCAAAATATTCCCTCCATCTTCCCAATACCTCTAACTCTCCATTTAATAACTCTCCTCTCCTATTTTTAACTGACAAATCCATTTGTTCTCTAGGCTTCCTTAACTTGTTAATCTCACTCCAAAACTTTTTCTTATTTTCAACAAAATTTGTTGATAACATCTCACCCACTCTCTTATTTGCTCTCTTTTTACATTGCTTCACCACTCTCTTTACCTCTCTCTTTTTCTCCTTATACTCTTCCCTCCTTGCATCACTTCTACTTTGTAAAAACTTCTCATATGCTAACTTTTTCTCCCTTACTACTCTCTTTACATCATCATTCCACCAATCGCTCCTCTTCCCTCCTGCACCCACTTTCCTGTAACCACAAACTTCTGCTGAACACTCTAACACTACATTTTTAAACCTACCCCATACCTCTTCGACCCCATTGCCTATGCTCTCATTAGCCCATCTATCCTCCAATAGCTGTTTATATCTTACCCTAACTGCCTCCTCTTTTAGTTTATAAACCTTCACCTCTCTCTTCCCTGATGCTTCTATTCTCCTTGTATCCCATCTACCTTTTACTCTCAGTGTAGCTACAACTAGAAAGTGATCTGATATATCTGTGGCCCCTCTATAAACATGTACATCCTGAAGTCTACTCAACAGTCTTTTATCTACTAATACATAATCCAACAAACTACTGTCATTTCGTCCTACATCATATCTTGTATACTTATTTATCCTCTTTTTCTTAAAATATGTATTACCTATAACTAAACCCCTTTCTATACAAAGTTCAATCAAAGGACTCCCATTTTCATTTACACCTGGCACCCCAAACTTACCTACCACACCCTCTCTAAAAGTTTCTCCTACTTTAGCATTCAGGTCCCCTACCACAATTACTCTCTCACTTGGTTCAAAGGTTCCTATACATTCACTTAACATCTCCCAAAATCTCTCTCTCTCCTCTACATTCCCCTCTTCTCCAGGTGCATACACGCTTATTATGACCCACTTTTCGCATCCAACCTTTACTTTAATCCACATAATTCTTGAATTTACACATTCATATTCTCTTTTCTCCTTCCATAACTGATCCTTCAACATTACTGCTACCCCTTCCTTTGCTCTAACTCTCTCAGATACTCCAGATTTAATCCGATTTATTTCCCCCCACCGAAACTCCCCTACCCCCTTCAGCTTTGTTTCGCTTAGGGCCAGGATATCCAACTTCTTTTCATTCATAACATCAGCAATCATCTGTTTCTTGTCATCTGCACTACATCCACGCACATTCAAGCATCCCAGTTTTATCAAGTTTTTCTTCTTCTCTTTTTTAGTAAATGTCTACAGGAGAAGGGGTTACTAGCCCATTGCTCCCGGCATTTTAGTCGCCTCATACGACACGCATGGCTTACGGAGGAAAGATTCTTTTCCACTTCCCCATGGACAATAGAAGAAATAAAGAAGAACAAGAGCTATTTAGAAAAAGGAGAAAAACCTAGATGTATGAATATATATATGCATGTGCGTGTCTGTGAAGTGTGACCAAAGTGTAAGTAGGAGTAGAAAGATATCCCTGTTATCTAGCGTGTTTATGAGACAGAAAAAGAAACCAGCAATCCTACCATCATGCAAAACAGTTACAGGTTTCTGTTTCACAGTCATCTGGCAGGACGGTAGTACTTCCCTGGGTGGTTGCTGTCTACCAACCTACTACCTGGTGTTATTATGTCTTGAAATAATCAGTGATCATTCTATGGTGTCCCATGGCTCACTTGGTAGCACACTCAACTCACACACTGAGGTCCGGGGGGTCAATCCCTGGTATGGCTGGAAACATTAGGATGTGTTTCCATAAGACACCTGCTGTCCATGTTCACCCATCAGTAAAATGGGTACCTGGGTGTTAGTGGACTGGTGTAGGTCGCATTCTGGAACAAAACTGAACTAATTTTCCTGAAATGCTCTGCATAACAAGAGGTTTTCTATAGAGTAGTACACTGGAACTTCGGTTTTCGTTTGCCCTGGTTTTTGTCAAATTCAGTTTTCGATGAATTTTTTCATCAAAATTTTGTCTCGGTTTTCGTTCATCACCTTGGTTTTTGTAGGTCCACCAAACCGAATGTGTCTGCCTTCCCGCACCCACACAAATCATCCCACTCATTCTGAGCCAGTCTGGCTTTGTTTCTCATTGAGTAAGGATTACC